AACAACTTGTTTGAAATGTTTTACATTGCTATGGATTTTAGTTTATTGATACAAATTTAAAGTTAATTTTGTTATACTGTATGTATATTTCTACTCTTGTTTGAGGTATTATATTTATGTAACTCATTTAGCTTGTAATGGATAATTAAAAACACAGATTAATAGTTAATCATCTATGATAATCAAACTTATAGTCATGTTAGTTTAGTTTTCTAGGTATACATAGATATATTTCAGAAAGATAGGTAATCTTCAAACACTTCAAAGACCTACAGGATAGTTTTAAAAATGTAGACTTTCTGGACAGTGAGACATATCTGCTCCTGGCAGCACCAATTTACTTCAGAGAGGAGGATGGACATCGAAGATACTCCATTTGGAAGTTTATCTTCTTCTTAACAAAAATAGCCTTTTAGGCAAGAAGCTGTTCTTGCCTGGACTGCTTGATTGAATGTACATGCAGGACCCATAAAAAGGTGACCACTGAACTTTTGCTTGGCAAAATGGTCCTTCAGGTTCCTGCTTCGCAGAGGAAACTGGCAGACATTCTACAGTACACAGAGAGAAGTGACTGAGAGACTCTCGGCCTGTGGGCTGATGACAGATGCCCCAATTTCACAGAGCAACTTTGGATGACTGTTCAGGCTGCCAGCTGACTCTGTCTACTCTCACAAGGCTCCCCAAAATTGCTTGCATCCTTCTCCTGTTTCTCAGGTAATATTATATCCTTCTGAGGTCTTTGATGTAGTTAAAGACTAGATTGTTAAAATTTCCTTAGTCATGATAAAAAATAAGTTAGATATGAAACCTTAGACTCACAAATATAAAATAGATAGAATATCTTCTTTAATTTTGCCAGATACAAATAGACTAGATATTATAAATAGACTAGATATTGTAACTGTAATTCTTGCTTGATAATTCCTCTGTTATATGTAATTTTAATATGTTAAAGTTAAAACCTTCCCATTTGAAAAAAAGAAAAGAAAAGGGGAAGTCCTGGGGGAGGTCTTTCTGTATGTTGTGAATGTGTTGCTCTGATTGATGATGAATAAAATGCTGATTGGCTAATACCAGGCAGGAAGTATAGGCAGGACAGAGAGAGAGGAGAATTGTGGGAAGAGAAAGGCTGAGTGAGGAGTTGCCAGCCAGACACTGATGAAGTGAGTTGTAAAAATACTAGTAAGTAATAAAAATGGGTTAATTTAAGATGTAAGAACTGGATCACAAGTAGCCTGAGCCAAGCATCTGTATGATTATTTGGGTCTGAATGGCTGCAGGCCCCAGGTGGGACGGGAGATACCTCCAGCAACACCTGTCTCATTTTGCCACACACTATTACAATGGAACCAAATTTTGAAAGCTGTCAGTCCATTGTCTTAGAGGCAGGAACTAATTTTACACTCTCATTCTTTGGCAGGACTAATGTCAGTATGGGCCAAGGTGGGGTTAAGCCTTCACTTACACATAGTCCAGAGATAGACTTAAAAAGACCTCTTGAGAACCATTTATCACCCAAGTGTGTTACCTTCTTCCTTTTCCACTGTGACAAGAATGCTCACTAAGAAGCTGAACTTCTGCTCAACCTTGTATCAATGATACTTAACAAAGCACTGAGAGAGTGAGCTATCAGTATTCTACTTTCACCCATCCCTGGCATCAGCAGAGTGCTGAACTTCCATATCCAGTCAGCAATAAAAAGACTGAATAAAAGAGTGAGGAGCAGGACAATTCTTTGCCCTCAAGAAACAATGATGTTCCCACAAGTAGAAATTCAAGAAACTGAATGAAAGTAATATGTGTAAAAGTAAATCCACACCAAGATGCTAAAATCAGAAAAAAATGATGCAAACAGATTCAGTTTGAGTTGTTAAGTGAAAGTGGGTGATGAAGCATGAAAATGACCAAACAACATGATATACATATGTGAAATTTTCAAATTGATTTGATATGCTTCTTGGTGTAAATAGAGTATCAGCAGGTGATGTTTTTCAAGTACACATGGAATATTCACAAAAATAAATATATATTAAGCTGGAAAACAATCTAAAATCATATTCAATACTAAGTTCTCATAATATTTTACAAAAATAAAGGAATTAAATCAGAAAATAATAACATATTTTAAAGGAAAATTTTCAAATACTAAAGAACACAATAAATGTTCCATGGATGAGAATAATGCATAGGAAGGGTAAATGTGAAAATAAAACCTGCCAAAATGAATAGTTAACATCTAAATCACCATCCAAATGAAAAGTCATGAACAACTTTAAATTCTCATTTAAATAAAGGCAATAATCGCACAAAGCAAGCAGGAGGAAATACTAAAGGCTGAAGCAGAAAATGACAAAGCAAGGAAATGATTAAAGGAGAGAGCGTTCTTTAAAATACTTAACTATGCTGATCCACTCCTCATGAGCCTGATAGACATGAAGAGGATGAAGTAGAAAGCATAACTATAGCCCTTAGAGACTTCAAAGGTATGATAAGAGACTACTGTGAACAAACTTACACATGTGAATTAAACAAATAAGGTAAATAAACTGCTATCTCAAACCTGATAATAAAAGACCTTTATGTGACCTTATTAGTTACCACTAACCAAAGCAGAGAAACTTGAGATGATTGTGTAACTATTAAGGAACTTCAGTTCATAATTTTAAACTTCACAAAAGTGATTTCCCAGCATATTTTTGGCTGATAACTATATTAGACTTTAAAAAAGATGTAGTACTAAATTTACACATTTTTTTCTTAAAATCTAAAAGAGGAACCAAGTTGCAACAATATACCATATTAGACTAAGTAGTTTAGACAACAGATAAATATTTTCTCAGTCCCTGCGGCTAGTTTGTTTGTCAAAATAGGCTTAGTTTAGATGATTTATCCTTTTAGGTTTTTGCCAAGTTGCTTTATCAGAATGTACTCACATGCCTCTTCCTTTTGTGAGAATAGAGAGAAATTTGAACTTTCCTCTTCTTATAAAACGAATCTAATGGGTTAAGACCCTACCTTTATAACATCCTTCAAATTAATTACTTTATTAAAACACTATCTCTGAGCATAGTCATATAAAGTGTGTGTGTGTGTGTGTGTGTGTGTGTGTGTGTGTGTGTGTGTGTGTGTGATGTTCTTATTCAGATGATGTCCAATTTTTTTTTGAAGCACAGTCCCTCATTGGCTTGGAATTCACAAAATGAGCTAGACTGGGTGACAGGCCCAGGGCCAAGTTCTATGCCCTCAGCGGGGTATTCTAAGCTACCACATTTTGATTTCTATGTGGGTGCTGGGGATTAATCTCAGGTCCTCATATTTGCATTTCCAGTATTTTACCAAATGAATTATTTTCCCAGCTGTCTATTTTCATAAGTTTCAAAGCATCCATGGATAAATTTTGAGAACACCCTGCTCCTACTTAGCAGGAGGGAACACATCCCAACATATTTTATAATCCTATAATCCTCAACAAAATATTGGCAAATTAAATCTATAAACAGAAATTCTACAGAATGATCAGTTTGGACTTAACCCAGTTGTCTAAGATTGATTCATCTTTCAAAAAGAATCAGTGTATACAACTATGTCAACAGTATAAGAAACATCATATGATTATTTTAAATGTCACAGAAATACTGTTGAACAAAATCCAATCCCTACTGATTAAAGCTCTCAGCAAATTCAGAATAGAACTTTAAAAAGAACAAGCACAAACATTTAAGCAAACATTTCATTTAAATTTGAGAAATTAGATATTTTGCCTCTTAAATTAAAAACAAGAAAAAAATTTCTGCTTTCATTATTTTTATTCACTATAACTGATTTTATTTTCTAATCTAATAAAACAAGAAACAGAAGTAAGCCCTACTTGCCAATAGAATATCAAGATATCCACAAAAATAGTTCCTAGAGCTAGTAACTTCAGTGAATTCACAGAATGGAAGGCTAATAATGCACACAAGCCAACGGTATTTCTACATACCCAAATAATATTTAGGAATATAGTAAAAAATGGAACTTTATATAATTAGGAAGATAAATGAAATATTTACAAATATAACTACATAATGCAAAGGCACAATGTGTCTAGTCAAAATAGCTTAATAACGCTTGTGTATTAGAAAATACAGCATAATCAAACTGTAAATACTACTTTAATTGGTGATTAGCTTTATTTTCTATCAAATCTTAGCAATGTGTGTTTTCATATATGAATAAGCTTATTATAAAACATGTGTGGAAAGGCACATACCATCAAGCAACTAGTCTTACATAAACTTAAGTGTAAGAGATTACTGTATACTTTTATGGTGCTTGTATTTGAACCCAAGGTCTCACACATCATTAGATAATTATACAATTAAGCAGTGTTCCTAACTTCAATTACTATAGATTTCTTGAAATGTCAGCATTATATATATAACAACTTAGTGGTTGCATTGATGATGAAAGAAAGAAGAGGATGTGGCTGCAAAAGGACAATGTTGGGCTGGAGAGGTGACTCAGGGCTTAAAAGATAAGTGACTGTTTTTTCAGTGGTCTCAGGTTAGGTTCCCAGCATTCACATAGCAGCTCACAACCACCTTTAACTGCAGTACCAGGGTATCTGATACTCTCTTCTGGCCTTAGCATGCACCATAAACTGAGACATAAAAGCAAGTAAAACACCACCCATACATGTTAAATCAATTTTAATTAGAAAAGGGTAATGTAGTTATCACTGGCAAAATGGAAATGTTTCATATGTTTATTTTGTCAGTGCTAGTGTCCTGTATTTTCCTTCTTGGAGAAAAACTGAGAAAAATAGATCTGTCTAACTTGTAATCTAAATTTAGTAACCATTGAAATTAAAACTCATTAAGAAGCAAGACTTCAAACCCACAGAGACAGCTGACCCAGGCTAGTGGGAGCTCCTGGACTCTGGACTGACAGCTGGGGAATCTGCACAGGACCACACTAGGCCCTCTGAATGTGGGTAACAGTTGTGTGGCTTGGGCAGTATTTGGGGCCCCTGGCAGTGGGACCAGGACTTTTCCCAAGTACATGAACTGGCTTTCTAGAGCACATTCCCTATGGAGGGATACCTTGCTCAGTCTTGATGCAGGGGGGAGGGGCTTGGTCCTGCCTCAACTTGACATTCCAGACTTTGTTTACTCCCCATGGGAGGCCTTACCCTCTCTGAGGAGTGGATGGGGGATGGGGTAGGCGGGAAGTTGAGGGGGAGCAGGAGGAAGGGATGGAGGGAGAACTGTGGTTGGTATGTAAAATGAAAAAAAAAACTGTTAAATTAAAAAAAAAGAAGCAAGACATGGAATACATAAAAGCATTGAGGAACAGGAAAGATGAAAAAATACTTTAAAAGAAAAATGTAGCTCCTTGTTTACTAGGTGTTACAGTGACTTGGTGAACTCTTTCTACAGTTGGGAGGCTTTAATTTTTTACTTGTAAGGGATCATGAGAACATTTGGCACTAGAGATGGAAAATACCAAATAAACAGATGCCACTCTCCCTCCTTGACAGCATTCACTCTGCGATATGCAACTGCCAGTCATAAATAGAACTGAACAGAGACAGCATCATCAGCATTACAGTCATTTCATAGGGTAACTTAAGAAGGCTGGGAATTGACTTCAGTGTGGTGCTGAAATCATGATTATTTTAAAACAAGTTTCTTTTCATTTTATATTTATTTATTGGAGATGGAGAG